AATGCTGGATTTGTTTCAGCTTTTGTCTTCTCCAGATGTTAACTGATGGACTGCAGTGCTGTGGATTATTGTGATGTTTTTATCAGCTGTTTGGACTCTCATTCTGACGGCACCCATTCACTGCAGAACATCCATTGCTGAGCAAGTGATGGAATGCAAAATTTTTCAGATCTGTTCCCATGAAGATGAGGGTGAGAGAATTTTAAAGGGATAGTTCACCCAAAAATGAAAATTCTGTCATTAATTACTCACCCTCATGTCGTTTCAAACCTGTAAGACCTTCGTTCATCTTTGGAACACAAATTAAGATATTTTTGATGGAATCTGAGAGCTCTCAGATTCCATCAAAAATATCTTAATTTGTGTTCCAAAGATGAACGAAGGTCTTACAGGTTTGAAACGACATGAGGGTGAGTAATTAATGACAGAATTTTCATTTTTGGGTGAACTATTCCTTGCAGGGCACTGAGCTTTGGCATTTTTCAGAAGTGAGACAATCTTGCGCACTTCCTGTCACATGCATGCGCTCTCAAGTGGCCAAGTCGTAAATATGGGTATTTGCTCGTCATACATTCTTGGTTTGATTTTGCTTACCACCCTCCCAGTTTTCGCAATCTTTGTATCCTTAACACAATAACAGTGATTTCACCACAGCAACCATAACTTAAAAGGAACGATATCAATCTCAGTCCAGCACAAGCTTTGCCATACACACCAAGGAGGGAAGAACTCAAAACCCAGTTCTTTACCAAATAACCACCATGTTATGGTCCTCTCTGATGTATCTTGATTGGAGTGTGATTATTATAGACATCGCCACCGATTTCATTCAACACTTGGCAGGTGCGTCCCCATTTTTTTCCCCAGGCTTTATACAGAAAGTGTCTCATCAGTTGCTATTGAGATAAGTAGCGTGATCGGTGATTCCCGCAAATGTGCTGACCCCAGAGCGGCGGTGCTCGGAGCTGCCAGGACTCGGGCCAGCAGAACGCCTCAAATCGCCCGTTGATGCTGTCAGCATGTCATTCTGTATGCACTCAACGGCATTGATCTGTTTTGAAAAGGCACGCTTTCCCAACGGATCACATCAATACACTGATTCGAAAGTCGTTGGCAGCACAAGCGAGGGTTTTTTCCTTGTACATTGCAGTGCTGTAATTCAGGCACCAAGAACAAGAGTTTGTTCCACTCCATTCACTGATTGTCTTTGCAGTTAGTGCTGTGCTTTTCTTGGAAATCATCTGTGTGCGCTCCCAACCACCTCCTCAAACCGCCCTCTGCCCTCATTTTACTGAAACTCCACCCACGTGGAGCCAACTCCCCGACCAACGTATCACGAACATCTCAGACGCGATTTGCCTGACCATGTGGAAGTAAACCATTGTAACCGTTTTGACAAATCAGTGCTGCCTCACGGCGATGCTCTTCACCAAGGAAAGGGGAAGCACGACCCCCTGACCCTGTGACTATAGTTAGCACACTAGATGCGTAAGACCCCCTTCACTTTCCCTACGCAGACTCCTTCATCCTCTAGCACTGATTCACTCCAACCCTCCTCTTCCTCTTCCTCCTCAGGCGAAAGGACAGCTGGCCAATCACACTGAACCCTTCCCCCCTGAAGGCTTTGGTAAGTCTCTCTCTCTCTCTCTCTGACCTCTTGTTCTTAGAGGTTTGAACGTTTTCACCCAGGCTTCTCTTAATTGGGTGACTGTGCTCTCATTACATGTTCTCTAGCTCTGAATTGCTACAGCGTGAGGTTGTTACGATAGCGTAATCACATCAATACATGTCAATTTGTGGGCAAATATTAAATGTGTTGGCAAAAAATATATATATATGGTTAACAAACCTACAACCAGATCCAAAGGGAAAAATCAAGCATTTTTCTCCATTAATGCATAAGTACTGTCAAGATACCACATACTGTATGTTATTGTTATAAATTCTAATATTCAATACAGCTGTAATTATAGAATATTATTAACAAGTAATTTGTACAAAAACAGAAATAAAATCTAAATAATAACAATATAAATATAAATGCATATAAATAACTAATATATATAAATAATATAAATGCATTATAAATATTTTTAATTTACTAATATGTAAGCATTTTTTATAATAATGTATTTGCATCAATACATTAATAATGTTAGTTTTAACTGTGTTTTTCATAGGGTTAGAGTTGATATTATGTTGATATTTAACATAATATGATTGGCATTATTAATATACAATATAATTGATAATATTCTAATATTTGATTCAATTAATAATGCGTAAAAGTAAATAAAAAATGATGCCGTATAATTAAAGTTCTGTGTATATTTAAACGAATAGTTCAAACTAAAATGACCTTAATCTATTGATTTATCATATATACTAGGGATTGGCATTATTATAATATAATATCGTTGATAATATTAACATTTTTGGTATAATTAATAATGCGTGAAAGTGAAGAAAATGTATTTTTGGATCTTGAAAATTCTGTGTATTTTAAAGGTGTAGTTCAAACAAAATTGACAATATATTGATTTATCGTGTATATACTAGGATTGTAATATCCTAATATTTGGTATAATTAATGTGTGAAAGAGAAGTTATTTGTAGTTACTGAAAGTTATTTGTGTATTTAATGGGAATTTTCAACCAGGAATGAAAATTGTCATAATTTACTCGCCCTCATGTCGTTCCGAATGCAAATGAATGACTTCATGTTTTTAATGAAACCTGAGAGATTTCTGTCCCCCAAAACACTAAAGTTTCACAATGTTCATGAAGACAGCATTGGTGAATTTCAATATGATATGGATTCCTTCAAAGTAGTGTAGTTGTTGTTTTTTATGCCAGATGCTGTGGTTAAAAAGCTAATATAAAAAAATAGTAGCAAGAACTGTAATGCAATCATAGTACTGTATTTCCAATTCTACCATCTTAAAAATTCTACCATCTTTTCCACTTTAACATTGCATACCTTGGCACTGGTATGCTGGCAGCAGGTAATAGTGTTAAAGCTGTGTATAGATAGCCACTTAAGATGAACTCGAGGTGGTCAAAGTTTACCTGCTTAACATTCATATTGAGCAGTTCCTGGAGAATGTGACGGAGAGGTCAGCAGCTGCATTAGTCTCTCATGAAGGAGATGTTTTCACAGCCTTTGACCTCTGATTGGAGAGTTTGAGGATATTATTGGTGTGATGTGACAGTGCTGTCAGAACAAATCGAGGTCATTAGTTTGTGGAGCGCCGCTTGAGTGATTGTCGAGGCAGAAAGAAAAGACAGAGCGAGAGCATAGAGAGAGACGAGATCAGTCAAGTAGATCCAACTTCCTTCCAGCCTCACTTCTCGCCCAATCAAAACACGATCCCGCCGATAATGTGTGGCAGCAGCGCCAATTCTCCCTGAATTACTTCCTTGGATTGCCATGTGTCTGGGCCAGGTGTGTGTGTGTGTGTGTGTGTGCTGTTCAGCGCTCATGAGGACATTTCGGGATGACCCTGAAATTGTTAAAGATTAGGGTGTATCAGGGCGTAGATTTTCACACTATAGCTTTTAGATCAGACCTATTGAGCAAAAGGTCTTTAGGAAAACCAGGGTGTGCACAAAGGAACTGCACACGAATCAGTATTGGGTGACTCCATGAAACAACAAGAACATGTTCAGGTTATACTCCACCTTAAAATATATTTTTAGTTTAATGGAGTGTTACTTTTATTATTTAATTTATTTATTACTTTGTCGTATGATAATTATGAAGTAAATGTGCTTAATTGTCATTAAATGTCATTAAGGTCACAGTGGATACTTCCATTCTTTATGCAATATACAGTGTGTATATATATATATGTATATGTCTTTGTGTATGTATATGTAAATCTGGACCACAAAACCAGTCATGGATATCTTCATGGAACATGATCTTTACTTAATATCCTAATGATTTTTGGCATAAAAGAAAAATCTATAATTTTGCCCCATACAGTGTTTTTGGCTATTACCTGTACATGTTCTTAAAGGAATCTTGTGAATCCACCAATAAATAGTGTCTTTGATGGGATTCATTTGAACCTCGTTTACAAAGTTATCCTGGAAGTGCACACAATTAATGGTTTTATGTGAATACTGTGCATTCATCTCTTATCAAATATGAGTGCTAAAAAATTGATGTGATCGACAGATGGAGAGTAGAGATTATAATTAAATCAGTGCATAAATGAGACTTGGAGAAACTATTGATCACATATGTGCAAGTATTTTTGGCCAACAGATAAACAGCCATAACCAAAAGGGCCATTTTTTCATTATCACACATTTTCTTGCTTGTTAACAGTGGTAAACATGTAGGGGAGTCAAATTTCGGTTAAGGGTCTAGCAAATGTATAAAAAGGATGAAAAATGTCTAGAAATTCATTAGTGTTCTCCAGGTTGATTAGGATGAATGTCTAGTTGCCAATTGTTGGATTTCACCTACTTCGTCATGATGCGATACTTTGCTCAATAATCAAGCTGATACAGTTTGATTATTGAACAACAGAGCAATTCATAGTGTTATCAGAAATTATTCGGGTTCTACTGCTTTGCCATCCAAGAGTATTAATGTAATATTGCAAAGTATGATATAGAATTTGATTCCTATAGTCTCAGTTTTGGTTGGTGTTTATATCTTCAGTTCAGCCAAGTGCTGCTGTGTTGATGGGGAACCCGATTCAGGCCTTTACTCCTCCAGGAGCCGGAGCTCCAGCCTCCGGCAAATCACCAAGCCCTGTTCAAAGAATCGACCCCGGAGCCAGCATCCTCTATGTGCCCGCTGTCTATGGGGGCAATATGGTGATGCCCATGCCTCTTCCGGTACATTCTGGACTTTGTTTCTCATACACTTTAACATGGGTCATTTTTGAGATGTTTCAGCCTGTTCTCATGTTCTTTTTACTATCAGTTGGAATTTGGAGGCCCTTCTCTCTCCACCCTAAATGTATTTCCTTGAACATGCTGTACACTTATATGACCCTCACCTTCTCTTCACCAGTTGCCATGGCCTGGCTACCAGAGCCGTTTCGCTATGGATCCTCGCATCATGAGTCATCAGGCCGCCATGGCCGCGTACAACCTCAACCTGCGGCCGGCAGCCAGTCGCACCTCACCTGTGCTGTATGGGTTCAGTCACCCGTCTCCTCTGGGTCTGAACCAGCAGCCTACCTCTGAGAAAGAACTACTTCAAGAGCCCAGTGGAAATGGTATAATCCACAACACTAGTGTCTTTCATTTTAACAATACCGGTTGCTCAACTGAGCAACACCAAGGTCATGGGTTTGAATCCCAGGGAGAACAGATGCTGATAAATGTATATTTGGAAAAAATAATTTTAATTTAATAGTAGTTTGGGCTAGTTTAAGTGAGTTTTTAAGTGATGTATTGTTAGAGAATTACAAAAATTGTGAAAAGGCCAAAAATATTTCACGATAATGCAGTTAAACTCAATGGGACAAGGTGGTCAGGAGGGTTTAAAGGATAAAATATGCAGCTCTCATTTTGGCAAAAATGCTTTTGTGAAATATTCAGTATACTTACTAAAATGCTTCTTAATAGACATCTACTGTGGATGAAAACCAACCTAAAATGTTCCTTTAAAATAATGTATTTCACATCAGGCCCGGTTTGCATTGGCTTAACAGTTCATACTTTGCCTTTACTTTCACTTGCATTACACTGTAAAAGTTTTTGAACTTGCTGAACTCTCAGACTTTTGGGGTTGTGTTGTGCTGATTTGCTGTCATTCTTTAGGGAAAATCGACATTAATGGGAAAACGGAGCATTGTAGGCTGCTGACACCTGAGAGGAAAGCCCCTGAGCTGAAGGAAAAACAGGTACCATCCATCCGCCCGTTCTCTTTTTGTATCTATCTATCTATCATACGTCCTTCCCGGTTTAATCTGAAATAAATCAAAGGAGCCGCCCACTATGCCTTCCCACAAGAGCACTTGTAACATGGACCATCTATCTTCACTCGTCCCCTGCATGCTCAAAACACTTCAGTTCTCCTACTCTGTTACACCCTCCATTAGCGTCACATGTCCGTAATGATTGTACTTTCTCCTCCCCACAGGGAGACCCAGAGTCGGTGCAGAATAAGAGTCCAGAGCCCCAGTCCAACATGGGCTTCCCTGGCAGCCGCCTCATACGCAAAGACCCGCAGGCCCAGAGGGCCCTCAACTTCCACCTGGGCCCCCCACATCCCGGTTTCCCCCCTCACCACGGCAACAGCCAGTTTCCACAGCAGTACGGACTATCCCGACCTCCCCTCCGAATGCAGGCCCCCATCCACCCTCAGGCCTCCTCCTTCCCCCCATCATTCTTCAGTGGACCTCCAATGGCGCACCGCGGGCTGCAGTCTCCGGTCCTGGAGGGTGGGGAGGGCTCGATGGGAGCGGGTCCAGGTGGGGTGGCTGAGGATCTGAAGGGTGTGGTGAGAGGCCTTCCCCCACAGATGCACCAGCAGCCCCTGCGCCTCAACAGCTTTGGAGAAGAGAGTTTGGACTCTCTGTTGGGCGATACTCTGGGTATGTACAAAAGCATTAAAAGTCATTAAATGGATTAAATTGATCAAACGTGTCAGTTAAGACATTTATAATGTTACAAAAGATTTTTTCAAGTAAATGCTGTTCTTTTGAACTTTCTATTCATCAAAGAATCCTGAAAAGTAAAATGTGTCACTGTTTCCACAAAAATATGAAGCAGAAAAAATGTGTTCAATATTGATGATAATAAGAACCATTATTAATAATTGAGTACCAATATAATTGATCATTACAGAGCAGCAAATCATCATATTAGAATGATTTCTGAAGGATCATGTGACACTGAAGACTGAGTAATGATGCTGAAAATACAGCTTTGACATCACAGGAAAAAAATTATATTTGACAAAATATTAAAATAGAAAACAGTTATTTTAAATTTAAATAATATTTCACAATATTACTATTACTTATGAGCAGAAGAGACTTGTTTCAAAAACATAAAAAAACCTTTGGCCAGGAGTGTGTGAGATGTATATGGGTTGTGTATGGCATTAAAGAAATTTAAAAAATGCATTAAAAAAGCATTAAAGGTTTAGTTCACCCAAAAATGAAAATTAGCCCATAAATTACTCACCC